TGTGATAAGAGTTGTACGAGCCCCTAATAAAATGATTGAAGGGGAAAAAAAAGAAATGGAGCACTAACAAGTGGGGTGGGCACAAAAAGGGCAGGCAAAGGCCATCTGTGGTTCAATTTAAAAATTCTGTTCAAACCCACACTATTTCCTCATATTAAAAAAAAGATACTGTAGATTATAGATGAAACTATCTCATCTCTGAGCTTTATTGTGAAATTCTAAGGAGATTGACTGTCCTGCAGTTGCAGACACAGGCATGCACTGGTTCTGTGTCCACCTTAAATCCATCATTAGTCTGGTACAAGCAAGAGTGATTCTAATTCTAAAATCAGTAAGTGTGATTTTCTCTATTCAATCTTCTAAAGCATGCTCCCTTTCCAAGGCTAGGAGCACCAGAAAAAGTATGAGATGTGTGGTAGTTACATAATCTGTTGTCAATTTGAGACTTAAGAGTGAAGGGGTGGAGTGTAGCCTATCAATCAGGTCGCAGCTTGATGACCTCATTTGGAGGCACTAAGGAGATAAACAGCTCATTGGAGGTGGGACACATGCTCACTCCCTGCAAGACATTCCTGTTAAGAAGACACATGGAGCTATGCTAGAGTCCTGGAGCTGAAGGAGCCATGCGAAGACCCCTGCCAGTGCTGAGATGCTTCTACTGCCACTGGATCCACCAGACTTTCCACCCACTGACCTGCGATCTTCCAGCATTTGGATGACATGTATTTTGTGAGTCTAAAGAGGACTTTATAGGCTATATGGACATATGGGCTAATATCAGCCTTAGGGATTTGATTTGGATGGGCTGGTATGTTTTCTCAATATTCAATTGCTCTTGTATATAAAGCTCTTTCTTATACACATATGAGTATCCATGAATTTTGTTTCTCTAGTCTACCCAGACTAACACAAGATGGGAACTAGCAGGACTCCTAACAACAGGGTTCTTGGAAGGTTTATGAGTCCAATCTCTGCCAAAAATAAAAACTCACTTTCTACAAAAGTTTAGAATTTTTTTTCTGACCAATGGCAACCCTAATGTAAGTTCATTACTCTTATCCCTCATGAATCCCAAGTCTATGATTTTTCTTTCAAGAACCTGAGACCTTTTCTTAGTAAGCCTATGTCTTAAGCATCTTTCCCTAAGTTAAATTACGAACAGTGACTCAAGACACAACTATTTTTTTTCTAACAAGAAGACTAAAGTGAATATTTAAGAGTCCTGAGCAGAATGAATCAACAGTTATTTCTAAAGGGAGATAGGTTGTTTAAGTCATTGTTTCCCTGTATTTGTTACCACTGTTGCTGTTAGTTGCCACTGAGTTGACTCCCATGCATAGTAAATACTGCCAAGTCTTGCATTATCCTCATAATCATTGGTATGTTAGAGCCCATCTCAAAGAAAGTTTCTCATATTTTCACTCGTCATCTACTTTACCAAATATAACAAAGTCTGGCCATCCTTGGTTTAAGAAACATTCTGCCGAGATGACAGAATGTATTCTGTCATCTGGGTATTCAGTTTTTATGCTAATTTATTTTCTAACAACTAAATTATGTAGAACCAGAGTGTACTTCCTCAATGTCAACTCACACATGTCTGATTGCATATATATTTTATCTCAATTCTCCATTATGTCCTCTCTTTCTATCTGAAATATAGAAGAAGCTTTCCAAGGCTTCTTCTCATAGCTTCCTTCACCTCCTTGTTCTTTAGGCTGTAGATGAGGGGATTCAGCATGGGAGTGACTATACTGTACTGCACAGAGAAGATCAACTTTAAGGATAAGCCCAAGTTTGGCATGAGATATCGTAGCAAACCTGAGCCATAGAATAAACTCACTGCTGTGAGGTGGGAGGAGCAGGTGGAAAAGGCCTTGCTTCTACCTGAGGTGGAACTGATGCTCAGGATGGTTGAGACAATGTGGACATAAGACAATACGATTGGAAGGAAGGTCTCAAATCCATGTATCAGGGAGGAGCAGACCAGGACTATGAGGTTGATGGTGATATTTGAGCAGGACAGAGGGAAGAGAGAGGGCAGCTCACAGCTGTAGTGCCTAATGGTATTGTTCTCACAGAACTCCAGCTTCACAACTGGGATGAAATTGATTACTGCATTTAGAAAACTGAAACCCCATGACCCCCACACAAGATGTATACACAACTGTTTACTCATCATCTGGCCATAGAGCAGAGGATGGCAGATAGCAGCATAGCGGTCATAGGCCATCACTGCAAGCAGAAAGCACTCATTCCCTGCAGTGAGAAACACAAAGAAGGCTTGAGTCAAGCATTCATCCACTGAGATGGTTTTTGTCACAGAGAGAAGGTTCTCTAGCATCTTCGGCACAGTGACTGAAGATAAACAAAGATCCAGGAATGATAGATTACTCAAGAAAAAGTACATGGGTGTGTGGAGGTGAGAATCAATACTGATCACTAAGAGCATCATCAGGTTCCCCACCAGGGTCAGGAGGTAAATTACCAGGAAGAGCGCAAAGAGCAGAGCCTGGATGTGGGGGTCGGCTGAGAACCCAAGGAGGATGAACTCAGCGACGACACTGTGGTTCCTCAAGGCCATTTACAAAGGTCGTTCCCTGGAAGTAATATGGAAAATGAGAGTGACGTTTATTTAATCCTTCAGCCAGTTTTTACATTTCATTTTTTTCTTTTAAAAAATGTTTTAGTGAAATGTATGCATAACAAAAGTTTGTCATTTCAACCATTCAGTGACATTAATTTTATTCATCATGGTGTGCTACTATCTTTGTTATCCATTTCCAAATGATTTCCATTACTCAAAGCAGAAAGTCAATACTCCTTCAATCATTCTCTTTACCTCTCCAGTTATCCACCACCATGACTAATCTAGCTTGGTTTCCCTGTGTTTGCCTATTCTAGACTATATAAGGGGAATCATACAACTTTGACCTTTCGAATTTGATTTATTTCCTTTAGCATAATGTTTCCAAGGTTCATTAATGTCATAACATGTTTCAGGAATTTGTTTATTAATATGATAGACTAATATTTCACTGTATGTATGCTACATTTTGCTAATCCATTTATAGACAATTGGGTTGTTTCTTCCTATTGTGAATAATGCTTCAGTAAACATTGGTGTTTGAATCTTCGGTGTCAAGTCTCGTGAATATATTGCTAGGAGTGGAATTGCTGGGTCATATGGTAAATCTAAGTTTAACTTGTTAGTAAAACTCACTTTCTTCAGAATTTATTTATTTATTTTTGCCTATTTGCTAATATCACACTAGTTGACCTTCATCATGTTTGTACTTTATGAGTCTCATATCTTTAAGTCTTCATCCCACAAGTTAGGATCTATTCTTCTATGCCCGTAGTGGATGCACCATTTTTCTACCCTACTGTTTGATTCTCTTTTAATATAACTATTAATTAGAAGATATTTTTTAACTCCTACATTGGGTCAGATTTTCTTTAAGTATAATGAAGAGTAATACATGGTCTTTTTTTTTCATTTCAAAGGTCACCATTCAATGCAAACACACATCCAAAGAGTATAAATTGCAGAGTATTGTGATGGGTGCAATGGAAGTTCTAAAGCTGATTTTGGGAATCCAGTAATGACTTAATTTGAAGTATTTCAGCAATAATTTTAAGAAAGCATATGTTTTCTCTATAGAGTCATGTAGAGAACAGTGCAATTAAAGGGAAAGGATTAGAAATGGGACCCTAGAATAGCTGGACCCTAGAGTTTGAGTGGTTTGCATATTGGAGTCATTCACAGTTAAGCTTTGGACTGCTTTCAGGAATCAAAGCTGAAAATATTACAATCACTGCCATTGTTGTTGAACCCTCTATACAAACAAGGAAATAATGTACACAAATGAGTATCATGCCAGAGCAACCAGTCTAAAAGGTCTTCCCCAAAACAACACACCCAGAACAATTCCCCCAGACAAGATTGTGAAACCAGAATAGAGGAGAAGATTCATTTTCTTAGTGCTTTAAAAGTGATCTCTGATCCAGAGGAAGCAGATATCCAACGGACTCTTTTTTTCCTCAGTCTAGAATGGCTTCTGAAAACACTCATTCCCATACAGGTCTCAGTTACAAACCTTTTTCATCTTAATCCTTGAGCATTGTTCTCATTGTGTGGGTCCCAAGTCTCTTTTTCATGCCCAGATTGTGTTCTTGCATTTAAATTATTTTTCCTAACATCTTGTATGTACTTAATAATATTATACTGTCTGTAAACAATTCTGGCTTTAATCCTCAAGTCTGGTCAGACAACCTAGAATTTTAGAGAACTCCTAGAATTCATCATAGTGGTCTAGCTAGATTCCTGGTTCTTGACAATTCTGAATTGCCTGATAGCTTATGATTCATAATCTGGTTCAGAAACAATTATTCAACAAGGAAGACTCCTGTGTCTTTATTACAAATTCTTTAACCACGATCCCAGTTTCAAAGTCTTTCCCCTATGCTAAATTCTGATTACCACTAAATTACATTCAATAAAGCAATGTGCAAACCCAGGAGGCTGCAGAAATAATTTAAATCCATATTCAAAGAGCATGAATGAACTCGTGAAGGTAATTCTTTGTGTATTGCAACATGGTGAGTTAAAAAAAATCCTACTGATAATTAAATATATCCCTGTATTCTATGCTTATGATGTGACATAATCATAGAGTAGTTCCTATTTTTAGATGGTCTCAAATCCTATCACTCTTGTTTTTCTTCATTTGCATTGGCATGCTCTCTTTACGCTAGGCCTTAGCCACTCACGCAATTATCCTGTCAAATGAATTCCACGAGCTGTTATGTACAGGCTTTCTGCACATTAATCTTTGGCTCATAAATTCAGGAGACTGAGTCATCTTCTAGTCTTGATGCCACTTTCTTTTTCATACAGTCCAACTTTTTGGATTATTTGCCCAGCGTATAGTAATTATGATGAAAGACTAGTTCCTATTGCCACAGTTTGAAATAAATATTGTCCTCAAGAACTTTAGCAACTATACTCATGAATGTTAGCAAATTCAAATTCATAGGGCTTTCTTAGATGTACTACTGTATTGGCATATTGACCATGAACCTTTGTACAGTGAACTTTTGTAAGTCCAGAGGGTGTTTATAGGAGAAAGATTTGTCTAAGAGTATTTGAAGGTGGGAAAGGATATTTACCTGGAAGTGTTATCCTGAATTTTAAAAAATTGATGGTCAAATAAGTAAAAATAAAAAAATTCTGTGAACTCAGTTCTTTGTTTACATTTCCTATTTGACTCTCTGGCATGATGAATCTGTATAGTTTCAGCCTGCTTAATGACTCTGTTAACATCTGAAAACTCACAGCTTGAGAGGTTTAGGGAAATATTTGCATGATAAGTTATTATGACTTTATAAAACACAACATTTCTATAGATTTACTAAGAATTACCTATAGATTATTAACAAAATTAATTCAAGAATAAAAATCACCCTCCATTATGATTTGTTAAGAAAAAAAGAAAGTTCCAAGATGATTAGAAAACTCAAGTCCACTTGTGCATATTAGAGCTTTCCAAAACAACTTTGCATAATAATGAGAACGGTCTCTGTCTAATGAGAATGGTCTCAGCAGCCATTATTCACATATGGCTATTGAGCCCTTGAAACGTGGCTGTGACTTATTAACTGGATTTTCATTTGTATTGGATTGTTAATAACTAAAAAATAAATTTAAATAGCCACATGTGGTCATTAACAACTAACTAAACAGCTCAAGTCTCAACCATGGTTTTTATATAGGAAGTATATGCAAAATTAAAATGATTTTATGTTTATTTCAATTATTTATCCAGCTAATAATCTTACACACACATATGCACTTCTGAGGGGGCATCCCCATAAAAACAGAATTTTTTTTCAAGGCTATGTATTTAAATTTTTTTACAAAATAACCTTTTCACCTTCAAAGTACTCTCTATCACACTTAATACAGTTGTCAAATCTGTGATTCTTTTCTTGGAAACATTTTTCAAACTCATCTGTTTGGATGGCTGACCCCACCTCTCTGGTTTGGTTGTTTTTCTTCACTTCTTCTACATAATCAAATCACTGTCTTTTCATGTCCCTCTGCATTCACAGAAACAAAAAGAAGTTACACAGAGTGAGGTCAGGTGAGTAGGGTACATGGGGCAAGAAAGGCATGCTGTTTTTTGGCCCAAAACTGGCGCACTGAGATGGCTGAACAGGTGCTTTGTTGTGGTGGCAAAACCATTCCCCTGTCTGCCACAAATCAGGCTTTTTTTTTTTTTTTTTTTTTTACAAACTGTTATGCCATCTTCTCAACACTCTAAATAGACAGCTTGCTTAACAGTCTGACCTGGGGGAACGAACTCCAAATGCACTATACCCCCACACATTAAAAAAAAAAAGAGAATCATCTAGATCTTTGATTTCACTTGATGGGCTTTTTGGGGGTCAGGTGACAATGGAGTCTTCCACTGGCTTGATTTGATGTTGGATTCGGGGTCATAAGAACAGCACCATGTCTCATCACCAGCAATGACCTTGGGAAGAAAGTGTGGGTTGCTTCGGAGCTGTTGTTTCAAAGAATGGCATGTTTCCAATAGACACTCTTTTTTCTGGTCAGTCAGAACCCAAGGCACAAATTTTGCAGTGATCTTCTCATTCCTAAATATTCCATTAAAATCTGCTGAACTGCGCTCCAAGATAGTCCAGATAACTTCCCTAGCTCTTCAATGGTCCGTCCTCAGTCTTTTAACACAAGTGCATGAATTTTTTCGACATTTTCATCCACCAGGGAAGTTGATGGAAGTCCAGAATGATGTTTGTCATCAATAGACATTTTGCCTTTTTCGAAATGAGAAAACCACTCATACACCTGAGTTTTCCCTACAGTGCTGTTCTTGTAAGCTGTGTCCAACATCACAAGCTTCTGCAGCATTTTTCCTGAGCAGGAAACAAAATTTCACAGCCACATGCTGTTCAGTTAAATTGTCCATCACAAAATACAAAGCTTGGATGATATGCTTTTATGAAAAAATTCACCGTGACCAGAGAGAACCTTTCCAGGGGACACCACTGGATGCACTAACTCAGAGCAAGTTGCTCTGTGCTCACCCATCAGGAAAAATTTGTACTATGAAAGCTCCACCTAGCAGAGATTTTTACAGGGTTTTTTTTTGCAGGGGGAGGGGACTCCATCTTATATATAGTTATTGCTGTGAGGTGCCATCAAGTCAGTTCCAACTCATAGTGGCCCTATGTACAATAGAGGGAAACACTGCCCATTGTGACATCCTCTCAACCTTTGCTATGCTTAAGCACATTGCTGCAGCCACTCTATCAATCCTTCTCATTGAAAGTCTTACTGATCTTCTAAGTTTTTGCTGATCTTCTACTTTACCATACCTGATATCCTTATCTAAGGGCCGATCCCTCCTGTTAACATGTTCAAAATACATGAGCCAAAGTCTCATCATCCTTACTTTTAAGGAGTAGGGTGGCTGTACTTCTTCCAAGACAGTTCTGTTTGTTATTCTGGGAGTCCATGGTACATTGAATATTCTACACCAGCTCCATAATGCAAGC